TCCCCGCATCGCGGCGTCACAGGCCAGCTCTCTCCTGTATTGAACCGTAGCGTGGCGCGCAAGTCGCTGCCGAATCTACGAACACCGGTGCAACACACGCCGACATCACATCTGGGTAACAGTGTTTATGCACCGGATTCTTAATAGGGGGGGGGGGCGGTAATAATAACCTCCATAATAAAATTACTCTACGCACATACAAGCGAAGATTCAGTAGTTACATATCATTTCAGTAGTCTATATTTACGTTACAGTCAGCATCAAAATTACGTGTCACAGCTCCTAGCAGAGATTTTCTAATAAGAACTTCCCGCTCAATTCGTTGAGCTCTAGCTTTACAGCGCTGTCCTAATCTATATCAGCCCTAACGTATTCCAACCTCACTCATCCTTGTAGTAAGAATTTATTCGACAGAGATAATTTCCGCGTTAACTCACTAAGCGTTAACGAGTGATATCTTTATACGCAACAACGTTAACGTCCTCTTGATTCGACCCGACTCTATGACATACCCCCGTTAGTTACTCATGCTGTCTATAACACGATGAGAGTCTGAGAACGCTCAACGTAAATTAGCCTGGGTCGGGCCCGATTGAGTATTTCTACGGCTATACACCCTAGCCTAGCAATTGCCTGACCCAGGTCTGACACGGACTAGCTTGAGAATTTTTATGCTACACCAAGCTAGTTCGAGTCTTTGTATAGTGTGTAGTTTATAAATGATGTTTATATTCCCTTCGCTGACGCTACCTGTATCGGGAGCAAAAGGGCTACACGGGTAGAGCTTGACTAGTAGTGCTAGCGTGGAGTAGTATCAAGCTTTTGCGTCTGAACCAGGCCTGACCCGGACTAGCCCTACCCGTCCATGTAGCCTCCTTAATGTGCTCCTGCTATAGGAGAATGTGTCTACACGGGTGGAGCTGGACTAGCTTTGTGTAGTTATTAAATATTTCAGGCTGCACGGAGAATGAGACAGTATTTATACTCACCCTGACCCATCGACTGCTGCGCTGCGACTCCTGGTAGCACATCTGAAGCCACGCCTCACGAAACTCACCAGAGGAATCGCTCTCCTTCTCGCCTTTCGCCGAAAGCGATGTATCCACCACCTTACCCGCTGGAGCGTCTCCCGACTTTTCCCTCGTTTCTAGCATATCCGCCACCGTTTTCGTCGACTTTGGCGCGTCGGCTGACATTTTCGTCGACGTTGGAACATTTCCGGATCTATTTCCTGTCCCGCGGAGGTTTTCCGATTTTTTTGCTGACCTCGGAGCGTCGTTTGACGACGTCGCTTGCGCAGTCGGTCGCGCAGACGTCCGCGAACCTGTCGCCGAACCTTTGCCGACATTTGCCGACGGAGTGTCTCGTGCTCCGGTAGCTGCCGACGTGCGTCGGGCGACGTTACGCGTCGACGTCTTGCGCGAGGCGGACATCCTGTGTTTGCTCAGAGAATGTCGTCGCTGGGCTTGAAGGCGATTGCGACGTCGTCGGTGGGTTCAGATACTAGACCATCAGTCGGTGTGTGTGTGCGTGTGTGTGTGTGTGTGTGTGTGTGTGTGTGTGTGTGTGTGTGTGTGTGTGTGTGTGCGCGTGCGTGCGCGCGCTTACGTATGTGCGTGCGTGCGTGCGCTAGTACGCCCGCGCGCGCGTGTGTGTGTGTATTCCAGGCTGCGGGGCTCCGTGTACCGCACGAGCGCGGGTGCGCGCTCATCGACCCTGGTATGGGAACATATCTATAGACACGGCTGCGTGGTCGACCACTGGTTTTACGGCCAGCGGCGTGCAGTATCTATGCTTACCTGCCTCGTAGTTACGCATCGTTGCTAGGTGTGTTGACGTAACGTATTGTAGGGCTGTGTGTGGAGTCGTTTGTCGCTCGGTCGTCTGTCGCGTAGTCACGCTGATGGGCGGCGCCACGATCGATTAATTTACTATATTATTTAAGGCCGTGCGAGTTTTTCATATGTGCATTATCATTTGCTTCGTGACCGTAAAAACCAACGCGTCGCACTTAGCAAAGGCAACATGCTGGCGTGCCGTGAAACATAATCCGATGTAGCATACAGAGCTGAGCAAACAGACCTAGCTATATTTACACACGATTCTTAGAATCTGTATTTACGCGCGTGTTTATATCATAAACTAACCTCGACGAAATTATTACACGCATACGCACACGCACGCACGCACACATACACGCACACGCGCGTACACACACGCGCGCACACGCACCCGCACACATACACGCGCACGCGCGTACACACAAACACGCATACGCACCCGCACACACACACACGTACGCATACGCACACACGCACACGCACGCACGCATATATATATAATATATAGCTTCGATTAATTCACAGAGATATACGCAACACTGATGTGCTTAATCGTTACGTACCACTTGCTGCAGGAAGAAATTGCCCGCTCACACTACGTCTGTATAGAAACATTTTTTTATGAGTAGATGTAGAGAAAGCGCGTGGACTTGACCCTGTGGTCGGTGGATATCATTCACGCGTGTACGTGTGAATATATATATTAGACGCATTCGTTTATACAAGAGTGCAACTTCTAGTGTAATGCCCCGTGAGAAATTTGGCACGAACCCGCTGAGAGAGACATCATAATGGTGTAAAATTTCATAACCTTAATGACATTTTAGACTTATGATTGAAGTCATGACCACTTATGATGTTTTGTTTACAACGACTCTGGCGTTCTTAGGTACAAGGAGTAGGATATTTGGCATTAAACGTGTTCGGTATTTCACTACTGTATCATTATTATTTTTGTAATTATTTTTTGTAATTTATTATTAATATTATTATTATTATTGTT